AAGTCATACGCAGCTGTCATCCGTACGCAAGGAAGTAAGCACAGGCTGTCCTCGAAGATGGGGATGCACGGCATGCCGACCTGCGGCAACATGAAACGCCAAATCTGCCCCAAAAACAAAATCTCGTTCACTACGTCACCAAGCGCGACGTACTCTGTTTCGGTGGTCGAAAGCCTGACACACTTCTGCGTTCTGGAAGACCAAGACAGAGCGCCTCATCCACACGTCACGATCCCCGCTGATACCGAGCTACGGTCTGCTGCCTTGCTTGCAAAGTCCGCATCAGCGTATCCCTGCAAGCTGAATCCCTCTACCGTACCTCTCTGAAACGAAATACCAAAGTGACTCGTCCTCCTCGCATAGCCTAAAATATCCATCGCTGCATTCCAGTGCNATGTCCATCACTGCATTCCAGTGCACCAGCTTCGGAGATGCGCAATACCTAGCTACTGCCCTTGTGCATTCGCAATGTCTGGCCTAGTCTGAGTCGCTAGCCACATCAACGATCCTACCAGCTCACGAAACGGAAAGTCTGTCGCCACCTTATCCGCATCAAAATCAGAAAGCTTCACCCCCGAAAACATCGGAACGCTCTTACCTCCCACCACTCCATATTCTGCTGCTAGCTCATCCGTCAAAGTCTGCCGAGAAATCGTCAACCTACCGGTCTCCTTGTTTCTCTCGTAAAAGCACCCAGAATACCATCTCAACTCTCCCAGGTTCTTCACTGGCACGGACTTGTTAAGGTCGGGCTCACATCTCTCCCTCTCTCCCACAGGAAAAATGTCATCTACATGTAGACTACTACTACCAAAATCAAAACAACACATCCACCTCAATCAAACGAAATACACAAGCGTCGGCCATGCACTGCTCAAAACCTAACGCCACCAAACACCTCTTCAGCATTGCATGCCTGTCTCAAGCCATACAGACTCTTGCCTAGTTTTACAATCATTCCAGATAGAGCTCCACATCCCTGCGGCAAACGCATGAACACGTCTTCCTCCACATCCGAACGCACAAAAGCTTGCTCAATATCGAAATGACACAAGTCGAGGTTCAACTCGCATGCCAAAACAGCCAACATCCTGACACATGAAACAGAAACGGTAGGTGCGTACAACTCTCCAAAGTCAATGTANAACACGTCTTCCTCCACATCCGAACGCACAAAAGCTTGCTCAATATCGAAATGACACAAGTCGAGGTTCAACTCGCATGCCAAAACAGCCAACATCCTGACACATGAAACAGAAACGGTAGGTGCGTACAACTCTCCAAAGTCAATGTACTCTCTCTGCATGTCACCTCTCGCTACAAGTCTCGACTTAACCTTAGTGGGCCATCCAAACTCATCTGCCTTCCAATCGAATACCCACTTATCGTTAATTGCGTTCTCCACTAGTCTAATTGCTTCTTCGCCGGAGTAAAGTCCCCGCTTCCAACAAGCCATAAAACTCCCTTTGCATAGAGTCGCTCCAAAGGTGCCGGTGCTCCGACGCCATGGCCTCTTTGTAGCTCTTGGGGACACAAAGGTCGCTGGCCTGGCAGTGAGGAAGGTCATGGCGTTGCTCCGGCGGGCGCTGGTCTCGCAGCGTGGCGTCGATGTCTTCCCGGTTGGCGAGGAGCGTGACAAATGCGAGTGGAAAGCCCTCTCCTCCAGCCCCCCGGTCCACCGCTGCGAGTGCTCCCGCCTGCCCTCCGGCCCTCGCTCCCCCCGGCTCTCCGGCCTCCGCCCCCCCCAGCTCCCTGCGCTCCTCGTCCACCGCGCTCCGAGCCTCC